CTGAGGAACCAAGATGCCCCACTTTCTGCTTGTCAAAGTCCAAAAATATCAGAAAATTTAAAAAAGTGTAACAAGGGGCCACTAGGTGACGTAGTGCTTGGGGCACCAGACTTCCACATGGACGACTGCAATTCAAGTCCTGGACCTGGCAGCTTGAAAAATCACGCCAGGCACATGTGTGTCCATGCCCACACTCCCAGGAGAAGGGTCGAGGAAGAGAAGGAATGGCGGTGTGGCCATCCTCCCCAGGGAGTGATTTCTTACTTTTTCTCTCGCTGTCTCTGTTTCTCCAATGAGTACATGCACCCTATGGCAAAAATTTTTTTTTTTTTTTTTTTTTTTAAAGAGAGAGGTAAAATAGAACATTGCAGTTGCCTGGAGAATAAAGCTATTTATATTTAATGTCTAAGACGCTCACGAGATTAGGATAAGCACTTTCAGTCTTCTAACAACAACAGAAATGAGTGACTCCCGTGGAAATGGCATGCCCTACGTGGGAAGAAACAGGCTTGCCTGCTAAGGTCCCACTGCACCTTCCAGTGTCTCCACCACAAGGCCAGCCCATCTGGTCAAAACTGACCAGCCACAGATCTAATTCTACCTACTTCTCACAGCCACACGTAAAAAAAGTAAAAGCAGACAGTAAAGTTAATATGAAATGAATGTGTCATGACTAGCCCACAAGCACATGAAAGAACATTCAGCAGCACTAATTAAGAGACTGCAAATCAAACCACGATGGGAAACCACTTCGCATCCACTAGGACGGCTACCACCAAAAACCCCCAAAACAGCACGTGTTGCCAAAGACACGGAGGAAACAGAACCCTGTGTACTGCTGGTGAGAACGAGCCAGCAATCTTACTTCTGGGTACACAGCCCAAAGAATCCAAGGCAGATGGCTCAACGATCCTTGCACACTCAGGTTCACGGCAGCACTGTTCATGACAGCCACAGACAGAAGCAACCCAGCTGCCCACTGACGGGTGAACAGGGCATGGCGCGCAAACACGCTGGAATACTATTCAGCCTTAAAAAGGAAGGCCAGTCTGACACGTGCTAGAAGATACCAGAACCGTGAGGCTATCGTGCTAAGTCACGGAAGTACAAATACTGTGTATTTTCACTCGTAGACAGCAACTAAAGTACAGCAGTCAGAAATCACAGAAAATAGAATGGTGGTTGCCAGACTTTAAGGGAAATGAGTTGGTTAAAGGGTGTAACGTTTCAGTTTTACAAGGTGAGTATTTCTGGAGAGCTGTTGTGCAACAATATAAATGTGCTTACGACTGCACCATACACTTAGAAATAAACGGTTAAGATGACACGTTTCACGCTATGTATTAACCGAATCAAAAAAAATTGTGTTTCATTTAATCCACATATTTAAAATAGCATCATCTCAACATGTAATCCATACGGAAGTGATGTTTTACATTCTTGTTTACGTATGAAGTCTTGAGATCCAGTGTATGTTAACACTGAAGCACATTCGATTTAGACCAGTCCTGTGTCAGGAGCTCAATACACACGAGGTCTCCCTACTCGGCAGTGCTGGCCTAGACCTTACTGCACCCCCTATCTGACAAATCTCATAGCTAGATCTTACAATTCAGGGTTGTCAGAAACGTCCCAACGTATTTTTCTATGCAATTTTTTTCTATGACTTTTACGATGACCCAATATAAAAATATTTGAGAGAACAGACTCCTTTTCTTGTTCTTACCTTTCCTGAAATTCGATTTGTCCTTCGTTTAAAAACTCTTTCTAGAAAGGCTACGAGGCAGTGCCTCTCATAGGGGGCTCGCAAGCTAGAGGGGGGGTCAGTTACGGGCTACCAGGTTTTAACAGGAGCATCCACAGATGCTGAGAGGCGCAAAGAACTCTCATCCTTGAATTTTGATAGGCCAGGAAAAAGTATGAAGTTTAAGACACTAACTAACGTGATTTATGAAGGTTATTAAAACCCAGCATTCATCCATATCCAGGCCCTTTTCGATCCTTATTTCCAACTGCACTGTCTACACGTCACAAGTAGTACAATAGTCTTTGAACGTATCTTCAGAAAAAGACACATGGGGGAAACATTCAGACTCGTTTAATACAAATACCTAACTGCTGTGCATCCCAGGGAAGATTTCGCCTTCTCATTAGAACAAAGGTGCAAGAACTTCAAGACTCTGAGACACACTGTTCTCTACCCCAAGTCACTGAGCAGGAAACTACTTTGTGGCTGTAGAAGGTCCCCACCAAGAACCTCTTTACAACCTCACAATTCTGTTCCACTGGCTCAAACCAATCACAAAGACTTCTTTGTGAAAAATATACTTTGCAATAAATTATCAAAAGCTTCATTGAAGATCTTACTGGATGCAGTTGAGTAAGGAATACTACACAAGGCCAAAAAGATAAGAGAGCCACTTGTCAACTCAGCATATTTCTGTGGTCTTCAGGCACTGAGCTAAGACTATGAGAACAGCCAGGAAAAACAGTTACAGACTACAAGTATAGTAAATTTTAACTTTCAATTTAATATACTCACATCTGGCTAAGTGTTCTCCTCTGGTAATTCCCTCTCCTTCACCCTAACTCATCCTCTTCCAAAACAAATCTCCCAAGAACTTAATCCTGAACACTTAACTTGGTAGAGTAAACTTCAAACAAACTCCTTCCAATTTATCACTTAATCCTGTACATTAAACTGTAAATTATCACACCGATCGACTGGAACCTAGTTACTACTATAAAATTATACCTCAGGGGCCTTCCTTACTTCACAAGTGTAACTGCTAACTCTGTTTAGTAATTTAGATCACGATCTTTAAAGTGCCATATATATACATATATATATATTGCAAGTAACGGCGTTTGCCTTATAATTAGTTTGCTAAACTCAGTTTGTCGACAGAAAAAAATTCATGTCTGTATTTGCATTAAAAATACTCTAACTCACCTACTATTCCTGGTTAACAGGGAAGGAGAAACTATATCCAATCCTACCACTACCTGTAGAGACTGGTGCACAGTGAACAATTGTCATAACTTCCAATGGGTTTTGTAAAAGACAGGTTTTTAAAGACATACAATATAAAGCCCCAATGTTCATTTGATAAGCAAAAATGAGGTAGGCTCAAATAAACATACTGGAGCATTTTCATGGGACAGCTGTAGAGCCGTAGGGCCAGCGGGTGGCATGGAGGCTAAGGCAGCTGGATCCTACATGGTCAACTCTGCAGTTCAAGTGCCGGACCCAAAGGCTTGTAATCATGCTGTGTGTGTGTGTGTGTGCGCGTGCGCGCGCCCAAAATTCCAAGAGATTGGAGGAACAGGGATTATGGCATGGGCATACCCTCAGGGAGTAATTTCTCACTTTCTGCTCTCTCTCTGGAGGGCATATGCACCTCTATAGCAAAAAAAAAATAAAAAACAACAAAAACCAACCAAACAAAAAATTTTTTAAAAATACACAAAAACTAAAAAGCATCAACAACAACAAAAAGGCAGCTGCAGACTCCAAAAGCCCCGCAGGCTGAAACGTGCTCAGGAGTGGTAGCCATGGCAATAACTAAAGTAACGGTAATAATAAAATTTGTCTTTCTTTCCCT